CTGCATTTGCAAAGCAAGTGGTGTTGCCTATGTTCAAAAGACCTCCCCCAGGTCTTTGGTCATCATCACTACCATTCTGCACTTGGGGCTCGTAGAGTTTCACTGCTGGATGCTGGATCGAGTGTAGATCATCCTAGAGAGAATAGGATTTGAAGTTATTTACCGTTAGCAATAGCAGTAACACACATTGTCCTTAGAACATTTGCAAATTTGCCAAACAAACAGGCCACCAAGGTAACACTCTGAAAACATTCTCTGATTGTTTTGTTTGTATCTGTTTGTTTGGACACAGGTTACCTCTGATGAGTCTTCAGGTAAAAGAGACCCAGAGACAATTTCCAGCATCATTCTCCTCCTCTTCTGGATCATGTCCCTGGACTTCAACTGGCATGACTTCCCTGCAGCCAATCTCCTAGCATTCCAGCAGGTGAACACCCCACAGTTACTCCAATTATTTTGTAATGTGATGGTTGCTTCTTTGATCAACCATGTGTCTTTTTGGAATAGCTGACCTTTTTGACTTGCCTCCATCTCCATGTAATTTAGTATTGTCTACAAAAACAAACACTGTACAAAAATACTGCAATAACTATTTTACTGGGTAGATAACTCCTGAATTGGGTGTACAAATATCATGAATTGAATTTGAATAAGCTTGAATTGACTTTAATTTGGCTTAAAGTGGATTGAATTGATTGCACTGCTTTGAAGTATTTTTGAATTGTGTTAAATTAAATTGAATTGGTTTGAATTAGTTTAAATTGGACAGAATTAGGGGTGTACACTGTACACTTAGCTGGGGAGTTATCTACACCTTGATTGTACCAGGATAATGACAAATCCACTCACTTCGCTGCAACCTATATGACTACTAAGTAGTATGCTGTCATAATGTGTGATGACTTTTTCCCTGATATTGATGAGGCATAATGACCAGTGGTCGGCCATGAAAATGGGAATGAATATGAGATGCTTTTTAAAGATGTTGATCTATAGTTTGAAAAAAAAAAATGAAGGTTTTACAGGCTGTTAATAGCAGTTATTGTGAGGGTGCAAACAAAACAAATCAGAGCCAAAAGCGTGGTCAGTGGAATAATAGGATTCGCTGTCTCAGCCAATCTATGCAATCTGTTACAGTGCACTTTTACCTTATCTTTAGTCCATGATTTAACTCCACAGAATCCCCTCTTATTCAGTTGGGTGTAAAAATGAGAGTTTAGATGATGAATATGGTTGCCTGCCTGTTCCATTATGAGCTCCATATAGAAGTCAACAATCTATTTAAAAAAGACAAAAAAGTTGAAGGTTTTGCAACAGTTATTATACGAGGGGGTAATCACTCCGTGAAAATGCGTACACCTCAACTTTTCACTTTTCCACTTGTATTCACTTTTTCACAGTTTTACAACATTTACTTCATTTCTATGCCTATATCCCCTCTATGTTATTCATTTTTGATCAGTTTTGTCCAAATTTTCTTTCAGTTTTCATCACTTTCAGTCAACTTTTTGTCACTTTCCCTTTACCTTTTATAGAAATGTGTACACCTACTTTCTGTAGTGATTACCCTCTCGTTATTATATAATTGTCAATCAGGGTATTACAGGTCAGGGAAGTCATATGGAAAAATCAGTCAATTGGAAATCAGGTCTGAAAGTCATGGAAAAGTCAGGGAATTTCACTCCAGGAACCTTTGTAGCAACCCTGATTGTGCAGTCTCTACTGACTTCTGATTGCTTTTGCACATACCTTGTCATTCAGCCAGGTTTCACCTCTGAGAGTAGCAAGATCCATGATGTATATATTTAAATTGAATTTTGAAATTACTGTAGTATTTGCTGGGTGCTTGAATAGGTCCTTAATATTTCATATACAATGTTAGAAGAGA